TTTTACTTCTGGTAGAGATTCCTTCGTCTATAACTCCCAAGAAATAATGACTCCTGAAATTTCTGGAGCATTTGAAGAAATTAAAAGTTTAATTAGTAGCAGAAACGGGGCTAATGATGAGGTGGCAGACCAAGAAAACGGTGACTATGGCCGCTATTCTATACAAACGTTGTCAACAGAAATTGTGGAAATAGTCGAGGACGGCAACAGCATAACAAAAAACAAAGATAGAAGGGTTGATGATCTCTATGTGGCTGTTGGCAAAGATGACTTGGATGCAGTGAAATGGGCTCTTGATCATGCTGTCTCTCCCGGTTCCCGGATTTTTCTTATCCACGTCTCTTCTCCAATCACATCGATTCCTACTCCAGGTAACCATTAATCCTTTGGAATATATATGTTCTAGTAACACCTGTTATTACGCGTCATTCTTTAGTATTCTGCTCTCTCCTTACCGACACAATACCAATATATGCCATTGCTAGATTACTATAACTAAGAATTTTAATTATGTTGGCTTGTATGATACTAGTCAATTCTTTTCATTTCTAGTATGGACTGTGGCATGAATGTTTCAAAGTTGTGCATTGTCTATCAAGAATACATCTCAAACTCTGAATTTCAAACCTTGAATTATATCTACTTGGTGGTAATAACTTATCTGATAGTTGGAAGGTTTGAAAGAAGTCAACTGACCCCACAGCAAGTGAGACTATACGTGAATGAAGTGAACAACAAGAGGAAGGATCTTTTGCAGAAGTACATTAAGATGAGCAATGAAGCCAATGTACTGAATTGATTACTTTACGACTATGATGTCTCTAGAATTTATTTAGACCACAAAAACATACTAAATTAATCTAATTATAATTTTGTTACCAATTTCTATTTGTCTCCGTGTTCTTTTCTCTCCCAGGTAATAGCAGAAACTTTGCTTCTGGAGAGCAACGACACAGGAAAAGCAATTCTGGATCTCATCTCTATACTTAACCTAACCAACCTTGTCATTGGAATCAAAAAGCTACCTTACACACGGTATGTTATCGCTGCTTGGATTTCATTCACAAATGGATGACATCGACAAGCACATGTTAAAGATTAAGGATTGTGTGTATCTTCTTTCTCTAACTTGTTCTTTTGATTAGGCGCAACAACAAATTGAGCATCGGAGAGTTCGTAAAGAAACATGCACCGAATACCTGTGAAGTTACCTTGGTTTATAATGGCGAGGTGTTTGTGTCAGACCCTTACATGGATGGCTTGGTATCCTATGGCCAAGCATCACAGAGTAAAAATCACTACAAAAGCAACTTCTTACAATGCATGTGCTTTTCAGGCAAGTCCAGTTCATTCAACTATTGATTTTCTCTCTCAACTCTATATGTACAATAAATTAGACTGGGAAGCTAAACAGGTACATCTGTTATAAGGGGAAGATGTAGATTTCACCAATGCATGATATTATGATATATGTTTTTATAACTAATTTAATTACCTATGTTTTTCTGCCATATATTTTATTTCATTTTTATTTTGTTGCATGTATGTTTTCCTTTTATAGTCTCACACTCTATCTACAATCCCTTGCATACAGGGTGCATGAAGGAAGATGATGGTATATAGTACATTTCTCACACCAGCAAAAACAAGCACTGGGTCAACTACTTAAGTAGTCTTAATTTTCCAGCGTGTTGAGTAATGAAAATTACAACTTTCAATCATGAGGAACTAAATCGGACCACCAACCATAGTTCAAAAGTAATTGTGTGATCTACATAGAAAACTCATGTCCATCATATTATTAATTTTTGGGAAGAAAACTTCTGTGAATTTGTCTGCGGATATGAGGGAATTTCTGTCTTGAATATGAGTGACACAGTTTATGTTCTATTATTATGTAAACTGTATAAACAGCTTTTTGATTTCAATTAATTTAAATTACAATATGAAGTCATTTATATGAGTTCCATAATGTGTACTAGTAATAATTTTTTTATTTACTAAAAAATATTATGTCTATCAGCAGCATGAGTTCTATCTTTTGGCTCCTGTGTAAAAAGTGAGTAATATGTTCTAGATTTAATTAGTATTTTTATTTATTCAATGTGATTTTTTAATTTATTTTAATTCCACTTTTTTATTTAAAAGGATTTAAGTGGTGTTTTTTCATAAAATTAGTGGAAGTGATCAGTCTCTTCTTCTTTTAAGTCTTTTTTCCTTCTTGCTGCACCTTTCTCCACAGTTTATCACATTTCACATGTTTTTTTTTTTCACCTTTTTCCACCTCCTAGGGTGTGTTCGCTTGAGACTGTAGAAAGGAAGAGAGAGGAGTAAGTTTCATTATCCTATTCTATTGTTTTTTAAAATAAAAATGGATTCACATTTTCTTTTCCAAATTCAGTGTGTACATAATTTTTGTTTCATCTTCATTCTCATCAAGTGATAGGTATACTTGTATATCTATTTTTTTACTATTCTAAATATCAACTAAATCCTTTTTATAAAAAATAAAAATAAAAATCACACTAAATAAATCATAATACTATCAAAATATTTAATTTTAAAAAGAAATATTACTTTCTCTAGGAAGTCAAATATTAAGAAAAATATTATAGTTGTATAAATCTTTAATGATCTCCTTTTTATATTACTGAAAATTTATAATATGTCACTTAAATGAAATCACATAAATAACAAAATTAAATTATTAATCATTTGAATTTAAACATAGATTCTTCATATTTTAAACTTGAATTAAATTAAGAGTTTATGTAATTGAATAGTTAAATTAGAGAGTCAAACATTCTCACAAAATAAAAATAAACAATAAATAAAAAATTATAAAGATGCAAAGATAATCAAATGTGTGACCCAAAATTAATTGAATGAAATTGAGAATATTCATTTAATCATAACACAAATGAAAAAAGTGTGTAATTAAGAATGTGATGAGAGGAAAATTTTCTTTAAGATTAGAGTTTATGCAATTGAATACTTGAAATTGAAAGTAAAATATTCTTATGAAAAAAAATAACAATAAATAGAAATATTATAAAAGAGTAAAAATAATCAAATGTATAATCTAAAAATTATTTGATAAAATGAAATTGAAAACACCTATTTGAACATATCAAAAAAAAAATAATAATGTGTAATAAGATTGTGATTAGAATAAAGAAAAATATCTTAAATATGTGATTAAACCTTAAAAATTATGTCAAACAATTGAGTTAATGTATAATAAAATAAATTATATATATATATATATATATATATATATATATATATATATATATATATATTAAGTTAACTAATAAATTATAGTATTCATTTAACGAGGACGAGGATAGGCGAGTATGGGGATAATGATGAAACAAATATGCACATACTTATCCTCATCTCGTACCCAATTGAAAACATTGTGTATTCACCCATTTCAATACCTGTATCCAATCAATGTGGAGATTTTCTGTCAAAACGGGGAGAGGTTTGGATAAAACCCACTATGACAGATTTATTTGTCATCCCCATTTACGGGTGAGCGATAGCGGGGGAATGATTTGCGGGTGAGACTTGTGTTCAATTCACGAATTTGAAAGTGAAAGAAAGAGGGAATTAGTGAGATTGTGAGATTTTTGAATCTCGCTTCAAGTGAAGTGATTTAAAGGTGATACATGGACAAATATAATTATACCCTCAATGTGAACATAAGTTTTTTTCACGTGCATGTTGTGTGAGTGTTGTGTGTTAGTTGTGTGAGTGTCTTTAAGGTGAGTTATTAGATTGGGGCGATGAGTGTGTGTGGTGCATGGTTAATGATTAACAACTCACAAATGGATGATCTATGGTGAGGTTCCATTATAATAAGGGATGAAGGTTCTAGTTGAAGTTGAAAAAAGGAATAGAACTGATTTGAAAAAGAAGGAAATCAATTCCCACTAACATTGGAACCGATTCCATGATTATGAAAAGAAGTTGGAATCGATTCCAACATGCATGATATCAGGTATAATATGCATGGAATCACTTATTCCATACATGTATTTTTGCTTTCCAAGGTTGCCTCTATAATGGTAATGTAACATGTTCAATTCTTACCCTAAAATTAAGTGCGAGTAGACTTTCAAACTTGTTTAAGACGACTTGTGGTGTTCTTAGCATTCCAATCACTATAGTTGGTAGTGAATTTGTCTTTAGTCTTGGTTCTCGTGTGCTAACCAAATATCATTCCTTTTCCTCCATTATTCAAGAGAATGTTGAGGCACTCATGTAAACTCAAAATTGGTTGCATGGTTTTGAACTAACCGGTAACATTATTCATTGTACTATGAAATTAATTTAGTTATTTATTACTTTATGTTTTAATATTATCAATTAACTTTTTTTTATTGTGTTGTAGATAGAGATAAATAAGAGGATGTTTCAAGATAGCAAAATATTATAGATTTATCCATTAATAACTCTAATCTTATAGATGGATAAGTGACACCTAAATGATGATGAATATTAGATACTTGTTTGTTGTGCTTTGAATTCTATTTAGGGTTAAAATTTTGGATTGTATTGTATTTTTTTTTTATATTTTCGATTGTATTGAATTGTCTCAGAAATTGAAAATAATTTATGATTGAAATTAATTTAAATTTAAATTAGAAAAAATGTTATTTTTGTAAAATCGAAAAAACTTAATTTAGTGAGCCAATGAGTTAACCTATTAATCCGTTTAACCTACCCAACTCATGATGAGTCCAACTGGATTCAAATTTTTTCGATTCGCTGATAAATAAATTTATTGACTCACTAAGTGATCAATACGTAATAAGTAGAATCAGATTAAGTCAAACACAGTCTAAAAAAGCTAATTTGGATATTTTTAGAAACTAAAGAAATTAATTAAAATTTTAAAATTTAAGGGTCTAATTAAAAGAAAAAAAAAAGAGTATTTAGAAGATTAAAAAAATATTGGTGCATAAATGGCAAGAGGTTTGAAGGGTGTCAATGAGATTTTGAACGGGCAACTGTGACGGAAAGGAGCAAAGAAGAACGTGTCTACAAGTAAAAGAAGCCAGTCCCTTTCCGTCCACTGTCAAACAGCAACCTGAGTGCTGCTGTTTTGGAATCCCTCGTTCTTTCTGTTTTCGTTTTTCTTTCTCCCATCATTTCCTAAACATTCATTTGATTGGGTTTTTTCTTCTGAACCCTAGCGTTTTGCGAGATGAACCCCTACGACAATAGATACTCTGATCCCGCTTCTTTTCACGCTCGTCGAAGGTACGTTCTCCCATTCTTTATTTTTTTCGTTTGCAATCGTTTAACGTAATAAAAATTCATGTTTTTCTTGTTCTCTTGTCGTAGCGATTTCATTAGATCTATTCCGCCGCCGTCTCTAGGCGGTCGCGGCGACGTGGTTCCTTATGGCGTCTTTAGGTCCAATGGGTTAGGATCCGCACCCGTTGCTCCGGTTCCACCATTTGTACCCCCTCCTGGAGGTTTTAGCGTAGGACGAGGTAGTGGTAGAGTGGGCAATGGTCACGTGAGTGATAGAAAATACGACATAGGTCGTAGTGGCGGTGGAAGAGGTGGTGGCGGCGGTGGAGGCGGGGTTCACGGTTTTCGGGGCTCCAGGAGAGGAGGTAGACACGATGGTGGATCTTCTAGGGACGATTTGAACAATATTACACTTCCGAAGCAGAGTTTTAAGAATTTGGTCCCTTTTGAGAAGAATTTTTACGTTGAGTGCCCTGCGTTGAGAGCCATGTCCGAGCAAGAAGTTATGCATTACCGTGCTTCTAGAGAGATCACCGTGCATGGGCATGATGTGCCGAAACCTGTACGGATGTTCCATGAGGCGAATTTTCCTGGTATTTTACTTGCTTATTCTCTTGCCTTGCCTTTTTTGTGTTTGTTTATGTTACTACTTGATTTTATTTTGCCTAGCGGAGTGTGATGTTGTTTGTTGGGTCAGATTATTGCCTTGAGGTCATTGCCAATCTGGGTTTTGCTGAGCCCACTCCAATTCAGGCTCAGGGTTGGCCCATGGCAATGAAGGGTAGAGATTTAATTGGCATAGCTGAGACTGGCTCGGGTAAAACTTTGGCGTATTTGCTTCCTGCTTTAGTGCACGTCAATGCTCAACCTCGATTGGGTATGTGTTGGATTCCCTGCGTAGTCTGTCATATGCTAAGTTTCCATTTTATTATGTTATGATAAATGCGTTTTCTGTTTTTTCAGCACATGGTGACGGTCCCATTGTCTTAGTATTAGCACCAACGAGAGAGCTAGCTATTCAAATTCAAGAAGAGGCTCTGAAATTTGGGTCTCGAACAAATATTAGAAGTACGTGCATCTATGGTGGTGCACCAAAGGGCCCCCAAATTCGCGAGCTTAGAAGAGGTACTTGGTTCACCTTTACTTGTGTGAGCCTACTGTATTTCGATCTTAATTTTGGAATAACATGAACATGATGACTATATTTTGGTGCTTTGTAGGCGTTGAGATTGTTATTGCGACACCTGGTCGTCTAATAGATATGTTGGAAGCTCAGCACACAAACCTTCAAAGAGTGACTTACCTTGTCTTGGACGAAGCTGATCGAATGCTGGACATGGGTTTTGAACCTCAGATACGGAAAATTGTAGACCAGGTATTATTCGCAACTAACCTGTGACTAGTAATTACTAAGTAGTGGGGATAAAAATCCGTGAATCTATTTCCTTTTGTTTTTCCTATAGTTTGCCAACGAGATCTAGCCCCCTTCCTGCTGAAGTTCCCTTTGTTCTGGATTATGTGTCTTGGGCCATGGCTGTGCGTTTTGAATATTAGTAATGAAAAGCTGGGAAATGAAGAAAAATTTCAATCATGAGAGAAACTGATACTAAGTTAAATAGTACGATAATTAAAAAGCGACATTATTTCAAAAGTTGTAGTTAAGGGTCTGAAGAATTCCATTGTTCCACACATTTTCCTTGCCTTCCATCTGCCGGTCTTTAAAATTATTCAATTCAGAAATCCGAAGCAGGCAAGGATGGCAACTTGCGGGTACTAACACGAACCCCCTGACTTTGACTGTTAATATTCGTTTTGACCCGGTTCTGGTACTGTTACCTGATTTTTTCTATTGGGACGCGGCAAGGAATGCATCAACTATTACTTGCCCTGAATCAATTCTCGTTCCCGTTCGGTACTTTTTATATGTATATTTTATATCATATATATATATATATATATATATTATATTTGTACACATTTTATTATAATAGTTTTATTATTTGAATTATGAAATGATTAAATGACAAACTTAAAGCAATAAATTTGGTTAAATATAATTGTTAACTTTTATTTTCTAAATTCATATTTTTTGTATTGTTTGAATTAAAGTATAATTAACAACGTAATCTATAAGTTATTTAAAATGCATGTGTAAACTAAAATTGTAAAAAATGTTATGACGATTATTTAGTTGAACCTGATAAAACCTCCTGAACTTGCTAAAACACAACAATGGCGATGAGTATTAAAACTTTAAAGCTGTCACTTGTAAGCATTAACCTGATCCTGTCTCGTGTTTTTGTGGGGATAAAGTTAGAGTGAGCTAAACCTGGCCCGCCCTGTTGCCTTATTAGAAGCAGACCCTCCACTTTCCTCAACTACTCAGCAATCATAAAATTCCTATTCTGAAATCCAAATGGAAGGTTAAACATTTATTGGTACCACAAGATTAGCATACCTAGTACAAAAATATTTTTGACTTTGGTGATTAATTAAGATAGTCACTGATGATTTAATTGACTTTATTTTTACTCTGTACAACTACATAAAATTCAGCTCAACATGTGAGATTTAGTGGCCATGCCTGGAACAAGAAAAGAGACTTCGAATATGGAATACACATCCTAGGGTGTCTTGGTATGATAGATATGCTGGATATTTTAAATAAACTTTGACTCATTTTCTCTCAAGACGGTAATTATTTGCCCCCACTCCTACTCGATGAAAGTAAACTTAATAGTTTTCTGCCTTTTCTCCACAATCATAGCTTTTTGTAGCACTTTGTTTTTTAAGTATTAGTCATGAAAGAATAGAGGTCAATTACCCACTCACTTGCATAGGGAGAATGTGTTCAAAATTATACTCCCTCTCTTGTATGAGGTGAGAACTATTGGTGAGACTCTATGATGCACCAATACTTCAATTTGGATCACATATCCGTGTCTGATACTCTAGGATACTTTATCAATACTTATCAATAAAGTATCTAATCTATAAAGCAATAATACTTTTATGATGACAATAATTTACGTTTTTGTGTTGAAAACTTTAGTACATATGATTTTAATTTGGATTCACACAATAACAATCATATATTAACCACTGATTTTGAATGTTAGATTGCAGCCCTGCAAAGAAATATCCCTGCAATTCATCTTCTGGTGTTTTATTTGTTTGTGACACCAATATCTTGAATTCTTGGATGAATTTTTTTCCAATCAAAACAGCCGCATCTTCTACTCTATTCCCAGAAGTAATAGTCACCATGTTGCCACCACATTGTGCTTTCTTTCCTTTGTCTTCACCCTCCTTCCCTGTTTTGACATACGCACCATGACCTACCACACTCTCCCCTGAAAACAGCAACTTTTGCAACTTCACTCTGAGAAGCAAGAGTCACAACATTCCCATCACAGTCTTCACCTGATGTATTTTCCCCACCAACATTTGTCACATTATCCACCCTTATAACAGCAGCTTCTGTAACTTTCTCAGCAGCAACAACAATAATGTCTCTATTACAGTTTTTGTTCTTGCCTTCCTCTTCACATATATTCTCTTCTCTCCTCCTGTCTTGCCCTCTAATTCCTGCAAAACAATCAACACTCAAAACAGCAGCTTCTGACACTCCACTCCCCGAAGTGATGGTAACAACATTCCCGGTCTTGGTCTCCACGTCCTCTTCACTGATATCCTTTTCTCTTTTCTTCCAATTGATTGAATTTTCAACTCCATCTGAGGGTTTCTTTGCTTTCTTGATGTCTTGCATACTATCTTTCTCAACAACATACCCTTCTTTACCTCTTTCTTTCCTTTCCTGATGTCATGAAAAGAACACAAAAAATAGGGGAGCTTTCTCTCCTCCAAGGGTTTTCCCCTTCACAAAGAGCTCAAGCTCAATCTACAAAATTATCCAAAAGTCCCCTTCATACCAGGACTCACCAACTACATAAAGGAAACCTCACTTACCTTAACAACTTAACTAACAACTACTTCTTAATCTGTTTCCTCCTATCATAAACATTATATTCTATCAGAACCACTAAATCATATTTAAATGATCAAGATGGATAAATACGCTCAATCTTTTTAAGTGATTGTATTATTAAGTAATTTTTAATTTTGCCTCTTGACCATTCTCATGAATAGTTTGTATGACTTACATTTATAGTTATCACATTCTTATATGACATGTGTGGTTTTCATATTGATTATGTATAATAGGCGCATTTAATTAATTTATGATTTGAAATATTAGATTCGACCAGATAGGCAAACATTATTATGGAGTGCTACATGGCCAAGGGAGGTTGAAACTCTGGCAAGGCAGTTTCTGCACAATCCGTACAAGGTTGATGCAATAGTTATTCCACTCTTATTTTTTTTTTATCATCTATCATTTATGGATACCTAAATTTGTATTTGCTGTTTCTTCAAAGAAAATAATTTTTTGCTATGAATTGACTTAATTAGATGTCATTTGGTTGATTATTGATGAGTGCATTCTCCCGTGGGTTATCATGATCCTATAGGTAATTATCGGGTCACCAAACCTGAAGGCAAATCAATCTATAAATCAAGTTGTTGAAGTTGTAACAGACATGGAGAAATATCATAGGTTTGTGTCCTCACTGATAATAGACGGTGGCAAGGGTTTATGCTTTCCAAATTAACACTTTAGCTTGAAAATGCAGATTAATCAGGCTGCTGAAAGAAGTGATGGACGGGAGCCGGATTCTAATTTTTATGGAGACAAAAAAGGGATGTGATCAAGTTACGAGACAAATGAGAATGGATGGGTGGCCAGCACTATCCATCCATGGTGATAAAAATCAGGCTGAAAGGGATTGGGTCTTGGCTGAATTTAAGAGTGGCAGAAGTCCAATAATGACTGCCACTGATGTTGCTGCACGGGGTCTTGGTAGGATCATTGTGTTTAGAAGCTTAGGATTTTTTATCTAGGTCTAAAACTTTAACCATAGGGAAAGTTGGCCGGCTGCTGTCCAGTTCTCCTTGATATAATTTGTGGTTTGGGTGTGTACGGGCCATATTGTCAGTATGTTGGAACTGCCTGTAACTTGACCAAGGGATTACTAACTTGCATCGTGAGATGAAATTGTTTTGTTGCAATCAGTAGACTGCATGTTTCTGTTAATTTGGCAACTAACTTTTTAGGTGTCAAGTTATATGGATTCCTGGGTCACAGAGTTCCTTTGATATGGCTCGGATATTGATCTATAACTTGAGCTAACATATCGCGTGTGGTCCTGTAGATTTCATAGAATGGGTTAATGCATGGTGGTTTACATGCTTGACTGAAGGTTAGTTATCAGTAATTTGATAGTGTAGACTGAAGAGATATAAGATCATATGCCTGTCATACGTTTTTTAAGGACATAGTAAAATTGATTGATCCCCCATCCACAATTATGGAGCTGATTGTATTTGCAGCCCGGTCGACTCATGCATGCTTAGTCAATAATTGGATGTGGTAGATGGCATGATGGTGAAGTAGCTCCTTATCCCTGGAAGGTTAAGGTGGGCACATTGATGTGATGAATGTGTTGAGTTTGATCTATTTGATCTCTAGAATCTTACAGCTCAGGGATAAGGGTTTTTTCAATTTTATCCATTTTAAAACCTTACTCTTAATTTCTAATGATGATTTGCTGTGTTGCTTGTAGACGTGAAGGACATTAAATGTGTGATCAATTATGACTTTCCATCAAGCCTGGAAGATTATGTACACAGAATTGGTCGAACTGGTCGTGCAGGGGCCAAAGGAACTGCTTACACATTTTTTACGCACGCCAATGCCAAGTTTGCTAGGGATCTGATCAAGATTTTACAAGATGCTGGTCAGGATGTGAGTCCTGCATTGTCTGCAATGGTTCGGTCAGCTGGTTCTGGTCAATATGGTAATAAGAATTTCTTGTTGAAGCTGAAGTTTGTGGTTTTCATTAGGATAGACTGTAAGTGGTTCTTATGTTTTTGTAGGATCAGGGGGAAGTTTTCGCGCAAGAGGACGTGGAGGCTATGGGAATCGAGGTTTGACATCAGGTTCCAATGCCATTCCTCTAGGTTCGAAGAGGCCTTGGCAGTATCTATAGTTTTGATGCTGCTTTTGGGAAATTGAGTTTTATTATGTTGAGCATGCTTGCATGTGACCACTGTTACATTTGAAACAACACAATGTATGATTTAGGGCAAAAGTTTGGAAAAAATATGTCGTCGATGATTGATACATGTATATACCTATTTTCCTCCTTTGACTTGATAAAGGCATTAAATTTCTGGTAGCTTTTTGATGGGGTGAGGCCGAAATTTGATAGGATGCAAGAAACAATATCCACTTTTTAGTCCGTTCAATATAATGTTTGGTCCGCTGTCTTTGGCTTTCTCACAAGGAATTATTTATTTTTGTAATTTTTTTCTTCAACTACAACATATAGAATATTAGTGTGCAAAATTTTAATAAATATATTTTTATTTAATTAAATTAATAAAAATAATAAATTCTATAATTTTTTAAATATTAAATATTCATAATTTTATTATTTTTAATTTTTGAATAGTTTGTGAAAAATTTTATATTTGATATATATAACCAAAACAATAACATACATTAAATTTAAAGTAATTAAAGTTAAATAGAACTGTGAACTCATGGAAGATTTTCTAAAAACAAACTTAATTAATGATAAATTTACAAAATATTAGTAGACATATTTTGAAACAAATTCACACAATACAAAATATGTGGGTTAATTTGTCCTGTTGTTTTTATGTTAGCCTGTAGAGACTGCAGTTATACATAATAGATTAAAATATTCAGCCAATCTTACATTTTTTTCTTGTGGACCTCTATGCCGACCCGAAGCCCGGTCCTCGTTGAACGGTACTACAACTATGTTAAGACTAACTTATTTTAGGTTAAATAAGTTTATGATAGTTCACAGGTTAAATAAGTTTATGATAATTCATAATTGATCTGTATAAAAAAAGTATTTCTAACCAGTATTTTAATGTCAACATTTAATAAATATATAAAATTTGATTTTGATAATAATTTACTATTTTTGAATTAATAAAGTTAACATGTAATTAAGTTTGCCAGTCTCAAAATATTTATTAAACGTTGAACAATACTAGTTTGTACGAATATTAAATTATAATACCGTTTCATTTAAGTTTAAAAATTAAATCACATTTCTACAAAAATTAAAATATCTAAAGTAGCCAAACATCATAAAGGCTTTTTTGTTTTCATTTCCTAATGTAATTCAACATCGACCAGGGACAATTTTTTTTTTCTTTTTCTGTTAGTCAATACATAGATCAATGAGTATGATATTATTTTATGCTAATTATAAAATGTTTGAACCTTAGAGATGTGGTTTGGAAAGATAAATTTAATGAACATGTCGTTTGTGTTAAATCCCGATAGCCCCAATATTTTTTATGTTTAAAATATTTAATCCAAATTTAATAAAACAATATAATTTTTAAATTCTATTTTCTAATCAGATAAATTGTTCCATAATCAGCTGCCTTCTACGCATACATTCTACTTATGAAAAACTTGAGAATCAACTCCAGAGTTAAAGAGAAAGAAAAGGAACGACGTACAGAGAGAAAAATAAAGATGAATAATAATAATAATAAAAAAAAACAAACAGAGACAGAAAAGAGGGCTTTCAGATTCAAGCCTTACATTAAATTTTGGAAATCATATGATAATAAAACTATTTAATAGTTTTTTTGAAAAAATTACAGTAATGCTCTAATTTTTTTAAAATATATTCTTAACACATATTAATCCTTTTAATTAAAAAAAAAAACGCTGTGAATGTGAGAGTGAAAATTGAAAATTTTAATAAACAAAATGGAAAATGATGAATGAGCGAGGGTAAATTGGTAAAATATCCTTCGAAGCATGCTATATAAATCCCAAAACCCTAATTCACTGGTGCGGCCGCTCCGTGAGATAGATAGTGAGGGAGAGAGGAACAGAGAGAGAGGAAGAGAAAATGACGACTAGGTTTAAGAAGAACAGGAAGAAGAGAGGTCATGTGAGCGCCGGGCACGGCCGTATCGGAAAGCACAGAAAGCATCCCGGAGGTCGCGGTAACGCCGGTGGTATGCACCACCACCGTATCCTCTTCGACAAGTACCATCCAGGTTACTTCGGTAAGGTGGGTATGCGCTACTTCCATAAGCTCCGCAACAAGTTCTATTGCCCCATCGTCAACATCGACAAGCTATGGTCCCTTCTCCCCCAGGAGGCCAAGGACAAGGCCACCGCCGACAAAGCTCCCTTGCTCGATGTCACCCAGTTCGGCTACTTTAAGGTTTTGGGTAAAGGTGTTTTGCCTCAGAACCAGCCTCTTGTTGTGAAGGCCAAACTTGTCTCCAAGATCGCCGAGAAGAAGATCAAGGAGGCCGGTGGAGCCGTTGTTCTCACCGCTTAGGGTATTTTTGTTTAAAAGGATTTTGAGATCTGTTATTTTTCATGTGATTTTGGTTCTAGTTTCTATCTATCTGTCTGAACTCGATTAGTTTAAATGGTTTTTATATTCTCAATGTTCCGGATTATATCTTTTTTTGCTTCATGTTATTTTGTCGATTCCCTATTTTACATTACGAAATTGAACCTCTTGATTGTTGTGTCGATGCTGATGCTTATGCCTCTGGCAACTGGTCATTATCATTCGTACAAGTTTTCAAATGCATCCCCATTCGCTGCGAAATATCTGCTTATAATATTTTGATTCATGGAAGTTGCAATGCAGCGATATTGGGATCAAAGAATTGATTTGGGCAAATTGAGCCTTGGTTTTGCTTACACGTAAATGTTTGGGATTTCTGTTCATTGGGATGCCTCCCTTTTAACCCTAAGATGCATTTGTATTTCCTTTTGTTATTTGATGTTTATTGGTCAGTGGAATGAGTCACATGACAAAACGGAATGATTTACTGTTTCATTGTTTTAATGTCGTTACAATTTAACGGAAACAATACTGGTACCCTCTCATTTACTCAAATTAGAGGGAAAAGAACACATGGGTATTTGATGAAGTTGAATGAAAGTGTATTGATCAGGGTTTACATGAATTCTGGATTGAGTTGAATGAGGTGTGTAATCAGGTTTAATTTGATACTCAGCTTCAACATACCATATAATGAATCCCTGCCGTTTCCTTTTAGTCCTTCCTCTCAATTGGCTGTGTAATTTGGTGTTAACTTTTTTGTGTCTCCTATTATCCTTCGTTTGAATTGGTATAATGCCGGATCGAGGTGTTAATTGTAATGCTAGTTTTAATCTGTTTGCGACTGTTAAAACTAGTTACTTGTTGTGGACACTTAAAATTATAATGTGATCACCTATTGCATAGATTAAGTGACTGGGATATGCGTATTTGATGGCTAGTTTTTCTTCCTTGATGATATTGGCTGGAGTTTTCTCCTTCCACTTTCAACATTGGTGTGCATTTAGAGGGGTATTACAACTGCTCCAATTTCTTGTAAGGCACCGTAAACCATCCTTTAATTAATCTTTAGTCCAAGAGAATAGGTTGTTAACATCCCTTCAAGTCGTGCATTTTTTTATCGGGAAGGAGAACTTGTCGAATAGCTTGCTCATGACAGTACACTTGATTTGGTTCTGGCCCAAATCATGTCACCATAAAGAGGAAGCCCTTAGCAAATAAATCCGGCCTTTTACTTATGATTTGTTATTTTGTTTGATTTTTAAATAAGAATTATGGATATTTTTTAGGAATTTGAATTGGACTAACCTTGTTTAATCTGAAGAAGTAGACTATACATATACATAACCTGAAGCACTGTTTCACCCCTCTCCAAAAATTTCAATTTTAATTTTCTAACATCTCATTCTACACCTCCAGCTTTTTTTTCAAAATTTTCAAAAGTTTAATTTTTAACTTTAATAAATATCTTTTTATTTTATTGCATTTCTTATTAAAAACACTCTCACCAATAATCTAATTTAATTTAAAATTAATTATTATTTAATATAATTTTATACTTTAATAATTATTAAAAATATGATTTATATTATAATAGTAGTAATATTAAAAAAATAAAAATGAAAATAATAAAATTAAAGAATAAAATAATGAAATAATAATAATAATATAAAATTTGATTTAATATATTCAAATATATTAAAATATTAAAATAAATTAAACAATTATTAAAATTTAAAAACTTGTTAATATCATTATCGGATTTGCGATTAACAAATATTTGTAATATTTTATTTTTTATTTAAATTTTAGTAATTATTTAATTTAATTTAATATTTTAATATTATGTAATATATTTAATATATTAAATGTAATTTTAAACATCATTTTTATTTTTATTTTTATTACTTTTATTTTAGATATTATTATTTTTATTATTTTAATAATACGATTATAAAAATATAAATCATATTTTAATAATTATTAAATTATGAAATATAATAATAAAATTATAATTTTCAATTAATTTAAATATTTATTAAATTTTAAATAAAAAACAAAACTATTAGCATATTTTACGGATTTTTATTCGATAAAACTTTTTTAAAATTTTTATTTTTATTTAAATTTTATTAATTATTTAATTTATTTAAATATATTTAAATATATTAAATCAAATTTATATTATTATTATTTTATTTTATTATTATTTTTATTTTAATTGTTTTATTTTATTTTTTAATACAATTATTATTACAATATAAATCATATTTTAATAATGATTAAAATATAAAATTATATTAAATAATATTTAAATTTTAAATTAAATTAGATTATTAAGATGATGTAAAATGTTTTTAATAAGGGAGAAGAAAATAAAAAGATACTTATTAAAATTAAAAATGAAATTTGTGAAAAAGTTGGAGGTATAGAATAAGATGTTAGAAGGTTAAAAATAAATTATTTTTAAAGATATAAATAAGATGTTAAAGGTGTAGAATGAAACACCTAACTTGAAGAAGTACCGAAACGGTTTGACTCAGGCTGCCTCACTTAGTTGGATTTTAAATAGTTAAAACTAGAATAAAAATTAATTTATGTAAGTAAAATCTATATGTCGTATTTCTTAAAGAATTTAAATAAGTAGTATTTTAATTTTAATTTAAATTAAAAAATAAAAGTATTAATATATTAGGTTTTGATTATTGGTTGCTATTTTGGTAGTTTAATATGTAGAAATAGTAATATTTTGTTAGAATTAGTTAATTGATTAAAGATTTAGAAAATGGTTTAAATGACATATTTGCTTTTGACTGATTAACAGCAATCTTAATAGTTGTGGATGGATTGATTTAAAATCATTTAATTAAATAAAAAGGAAATAAGGAATAAAAATTAATATGTAATTATTTAGCTTATTAGTTCAATAACAAATATAAATAATCTTAAAACTAGCATAATGTCATAATTATAAGAGTGTCTTTATCGAATCCTGCAAAATGTCCTCGGAGAATTCTCTGCCATTCTAATCTAATATTTTTTGGGCTTTTTTCCTGCCCTTTTAAGGGTTTTTTTCCCACACTTCCAAATTTCTAAAGTACCCTCATTTAATGAGGTTGTTAGAATTTTACTTCATCAAATCACTTCATTCAATTTTATTAAACGTCCATTTTTATTCTTATATACATACTCTGCACCCCCTGAAGTTGTTCGTGGTTCAAAAAGTTCAGAAAGCTTTGGTGATGGATGTGGTGGTCAAGGGAGAAGAGGTGCTTGAGGTGGTGCTCCTGGTCCATTACTGTTCGGGGGAGTTATTTTTCGTTAAATTTCTCCATGTCAACAGGTGTACGAAAGCATTACAAAGCTTAATCGATATGGTAATGAAAGAATGGAAAAAAGAAATCATGAATTGTGAAGACCAATTTATGTTTGGTAACTAAAGACTCGGAGTGAAAAAATTAATAAAATGACTAATATATAAATAAAAAATCCATATAACCATATAAGAAGAAAATAATTTGATTAAATATGAATACGAAGTCCTAAATCAATTAAAAATAAGTAAAATGACTAATATATAAGTAGAAAGACTTATATAATTAAACAAGAAATTGTAGAGATTTAACGTTGATACGAAGTTCTATATATAAGTAGAAAGACTTATATAATTAAACAAGAAATTGTAGAGATATAACGTTGATACGAAGTTCTATATCAGTTAAAATTAAGACACATGACTAATTGATTAAGGTTATTAGGGTTAAAGTTAAGGGTAAGGGTTAGAGTTAGGGTTAGGGTTAGGGTATGGGTAGGTTTAGGGTTTAAGGTTAGGGTGGTTTAAGGGTTTAAGGTTAGGGTGGTTTAAGGGTTTAGGGTTTAGGATTCATAGTTGGGGTTGGGGATGAGGTTAGGGATAAGTTAGGGCGTAGGATTTCAGGTTTAGGGTTTAAGGTTTAGAGTTGGGGTTATGGTTTAATGATTTAAGGGTTAGGGTTAGAGATTATTTTTTAGGGTTTATGGTTATGGTTAGGGTTGATAGTTTAGGGTTTAGGATTATAGTTTAGGGTTAGGGGTTTAAGGTTTAATGTATAAGGTTTTGAGTTTAGAGTTTAGGGTTAAATTTAGGGTTTAAGGTTTGGGTGGTTTGAGGGTTTAGGGTTTAGGGTTTAGGGTTTGGGTTAGGGTTAACATTTAGGGTTAGGGTTTAATGTTTTAGGGTTTAGGGTTATAGTTAGGGTTAAGGTTGATGGTTTAGGGTTTAGGATTTATGGTTTAGGGATCAGGGTGTAGGATTAGGGTTAGGGGTTTAGGGTTTCGTGTTTGATGTTTAGGGTTTGGGGTTTAAGGTTTAAGGTATTGTGTTTCGGGTTTAGGGTTTAGGGTTAAGTTTAAGGTTGAGATTAGGGTGGTTTGAGGGTTTAGGGTTTGGGTTGGGGTTGTGGTTAGGGTTTAGGGTTTAGGAATTAGAGTTTTGGGTTTAAGGTTTCCGGTTTAGGGTTTAAGGTTTAAGGTTTAAGGTTTGGGTTATGGTTAAGGTTAGGGTTAGGTTTAGGGTATAGAGCTATGGTTAGGATTAGGGTTTATGCTTAAGGTTAGAATTTAGGGTTTAGGTTTAGGGTTAGGGTAAGGGTTTAGGGTTTCGGGTTTGGTGTTTAGGGTTTAGGCTTTAGGGCTTAAGGTATAGGCTTTCAGGTTTAGGGTTTATGGTTTAGGGTTTAGAGCTTAGGATTTTAGGTGTACGGGTTAGAGTTTAGGGTTAAGTGTATGGTTTAAGATTTACGGTTATGGTGGTTTGAGGGTTGAGGGCTTGTGGTTTAGGGTTGGGGTTGGGATTGAGTTTGGAGTTTAGGGTTGAGGGTTTAGGGTTTATGGTTAGAATTTAGTGTTAGGGTTAGGGTTAGGGTTTAGTGTTTTATGGTTTAGGGTCAGGGTTTATTTGTTAGGGTTTAAGGTTATAATTAGGGTTATGGTTGATGATTTAGGGTTTATGGTTAGGGTTAACGTTTAGGGTTTAGGGTTAGCATTAGGGTTAGGGTTAAGGTTAAGGTTTAATGTTTTAGAGTTTATGGTTAGGTTTTATTTTTTAGGTATTAG